ACTTGAATAGATGGTGTTTAACGTCCTCGTGAGTTAATGTTGGAATGGAAAGACTGTCGTCGTCAACATCTTATGATAAGAGTTACATCATCTGTTTTTTTTCTCCAAATCCAGGAGAGAAATATTTATTGAACACTTTTACCTCTTCTGCATTATTTTTGATAATTCTACCATTTCCATCTAGTAATTTACCTCTACCATTGTTAGGATTAATTTTGTACTTAATATACTTTTAAAAACTTCCTTCTTATTTTCATTGATTGATCATTGATTTCTGTTAGCTTCCCTTACCAATTTTCTACAATTCTGACCTTCTAACTTACATTCTTTACTATTGACTTCCCCTTTCTTCCATATATTTTATTTGGAGAGTGTTGGTATTCCTACCAGGGAGCCACCAGCAGGGTCCAGAGACAGCCCCATCTCCTATATCAAGCTCTGGCTAGTAGGTATGTGATAAATGTGACGATCCTGCCTCCGTCTATCAGCTGGGTGACACAAAGGTTCTCTCTTTCCACCCTCTGATGCCTCCTGGCTGCTCTAGGCAAGGTGGGGTGGACTCTGTTAACATGTGCCTCCCGGAGCTTCCATTTACCTGGTGCTGCTGTTCCGTGAATAGTGGGGTTGTGAGTGGGGCAGCAGGTACTGAATGTTGGCCTCTTGCTCTTTCAGGAGCCGGTGACCTTCGAGGAGGTGGCTGTGTATTTCACCAGGGAAGAGTGGGCTCTGCTGCACCCCACTCAGAGAGCCCTCTACAGGGATGTCATGCAGGAGAACTATGAGACGGTGGTCTTGCTGGGTAAGGAGTCCTGTCCCCTCAGTTATTAGAAGCTGTGGGGTCTCTAAAGAACCTGAGTAGTAATAACTTTATACCTTTATTCGTCATACAAGTTTTGACAAGTTTCCTTGCCCCCCTTTTTTTTTGCTTTATCTCCCACCCGCTAGTATAATTTTTGGACATGTGCCTTTTTGGTGCCATCAGTCATTTTAAAATTGCATTTAATGTATCCTTGTTGGTTACATTAATAACTGTAGCTTTTATGACTTTTCCTCATTTTAAGAGGAAAATATGCTGTCTGTAGAATTCTAAATTGAGTAAATTGGTGTATGACTCATGCATGGCTGTATGACAGTCAGATGAGCTCCTCTTTTGATAGGAGAGCGTATAATGTTGCCATTCAGGACCCCACGGGTAAAGGGAGAACAGAGCTGTGGGAGGAGAGTAGAAGGGGGGAGGAGATAATTCTGGGGTGCCAGGACATGGGGAGTGTGTGTGCAGGGTTAGACCTAAGAATCAGCAGGGAGGGATGAGGTAGTGAGAGACGAGGAGGGAACACAAGAAGTTCCCAAGGTGCTGGCTGAGAGTAATGGGATGAAGGGGAGGGGAGTGTGTAGGAAGGGCACCCACGAAGTGGGCTGGGTGGGTCAGTGGGAGGGAGGAGAGGTTTGGGGATCTAGAGCTGTGGGGGATCCCAGACCTTTAACCCCGAATCCCTACCGAAGCCTTGTTGCTTTAGACCAGGGGTCGGCAACCTTTCAGAAGTGGTGTGCGGAGTCTTCGTTTATTCACTCTAATTTAAGGTTTCGCGTGCCGGTAATACATTTTAACGTTTTTAGAAGGTCTCTTTCTATAAGTCTATAATATATAACTAAACTATTGTTGTATGTAAAGTAAATAAGGTTTTTAAAATGTTTAAGAAGCTTCATTTAAAATTAAATTAAAATGCAGAGCCCCCTGGACCGGTGGCCAGGACCTGGGCAGTGTGCGTGCCATTGAAAATCAGCTCGCGTGCCGCCTTCGGCACGCGTGCCATAGGTTGCCTACCCCTGCTTTAGAGCCTACACTCCAGTTTTATTTCTGTTCAGTTTCACTTCATTATACATTTCCCCCCCAAATATTATTATTTTAACTCTTGACCTCCCTCTCCCACTCATTACCCCAGCCCCATATAACCTCCCCATCTCTATGCACGGCAACCCTGGCCACCGATGCTGAGTCCTTGCTGCATTCCTCCCTCCCATAGCAGGACCGCTACCCAGGCACAAATGGGCACTTTGTTGATGATGTCACAGGGTGGTAGTATAGCCTGTACAATTTTTACACCTATAAGATTACTTATTCTGAAGCCCTTCACACCAGTCAGGCTTATCTCTATACGCCGATACAGTCTGTTCATAGATTCCTAGATTCTAGGGACTGGAAGGGACCT